CCCCAAAACCCCAAAACCCCATTTATAGATGTTCTTGAAATTTTAAATTTTGATAACTAAAAAATGAGTAAACTAAATCCATAATGTACTGTTAAATTTAAAAGTTAATTGTAAATGTAGCAAAACTATAAGTTTCAGCAGCCTTAATAGCTGTTGCTTAATAGCTCTCTTTGTGACTCAGAACCTAAGGTCATAAATCTCAAAAGCCCACACATTAATCACCTAACTCGTAATTATCATTTAAAAGTCATGTTGATTTTTATAGAGCAAGATATTTAGATTTAACCTAAAAATAACTAGATTGGTAAGAAAAAGTAGCAGATTAAGCAGGAAATTGACAGAATACTCTGAGAAAAATTAGGATTAAATAAATTATCAGAACTCATATTCTAAGTTGATGATGCTATGTACAACTCAGCACCAAAGTCCCCGATTCTCTAATAAATCTAAAATAGCACACAAAATCGGAAGAGCAAATTTGCTAAAAATAAAAGCAATACAAAGTACTTTGATAAAGAAAACGGCCCTAATAAATTTTAGCTTGACATTAAAGTCAACACCAATACAACAAGCACTATTTCCAATGAGTTGAGTACAGACTCACAGCAGTTTCTAAATTTTTATGATCTTTTCAAGCTAAAGAGACTTCTTGGGTTTGGAGCATTTGGAGTCGTCTTGATGGTTAAAAATATCAAACATAATGAAGTTTCAGCATTGAAGATCATCAATAAAACAAATCTGTCCAAATCTAATTTAAATCAGTTTAGGAATGAGTTCAAAGTTCTTTAGAAATTAGATCACTGCGGAGTAATTAAATCGAAGAGAACATATGAGACCTAAAATTATTTATTAATTGAATTGGAATACTTCGAAGGTATAACATTAAAAAAGTTTTAAGATCAAATTTAATCGGAAGATAATTCAAGGGCAATATTGAAATGTATCTTAGAGGGGTTGAATCACATTCATGATAAGGATTTTATTCACAGGGATCTGAAAACGGATAATATATTAATTAGCGTGAATAATGCTTTAAGTGTTGACAGCTATACCAATCTTGATTCCATCGGATATGAAGTAAAGATTATAGATTTTGGGTTGAGCACAAGCCATAAAGTTCTAAGTTTTGAGTAAATTGATGACAATATAGGAACACTAGTATACATGGCTCCAGAGCAAGCAAAATCTAAATCATATGGAAAGGTAATAAATTAAAAACTAACAAGCAAAATATAGAGAATAGATGTATGGGCTTGCGGAATAATAATGTATTAATTATTGACTAGAGGAAAACATCCAATCTATTATGATGGCCAGAACAGAGATGAATATAATGAGGCTTTAGATAAAATAATGAGTGGCTAATCCAAATGGGAATTCCCATAAGGCTTTTCTGAGTAAGTTTTCCTAAATTTAATAGAAATCTTAGTTTAGCTTAAGATTTTTTCAAAAAGTTATGTTGCATTTGTCCCTCTGAGAGATATGACTGTAAAAAGGCTTTATAGCATCCATGGATAACGGGTAAGACAGACGGATTTATTCCATTAACTTATAAGTAACAATTAAAGAACTATGATTCTGAGTAAACATTGAGGAAGTTATTTAGAGTTGTCTAATTCATGGTTGTTACAGATTAGAATAATCTTACATAATTTCAAAGACTAATTAACAATAAAAGAATGTCAATTAATTATAAAGAGAAAATCTTAGCTAATAAGTCTTAAAATGAAGGCGAAGAACTCATTATAAAAACAGATGAGAGTATTTTGCTTGAAACATGCAGAGATTCACTATCAACTGAAGATTGCAAGCATACAATTTCCAATGAGTTATAAGATTAAAAGTCAAAGTTTTTCATAGACAAAGAAAATTAACTCTCGAAATATAAGTATTCACTATAGAATCTTGGCAAAAGAGAATAGGTTCTAATAAAGAAAAAGAAAACATAAGTTTTAAGATAGAGCGTAAAAAAACCAATGATTGACTCATCAATTATGTCACCAAAGCAAACTCAATCAAACATAGATATTTCTCCAATGAAGATGCTGAGCAAAAATATTGCATTAGGAAGGAATACACCAGTTCTTAGAAAAGACAGTATAAAATTCAATAGTAATAGTAAAGCTTTTAATTCGAGAACTAATCAAAAGGAGTAAGACAAATCATTACTTGCGATTCAGCAGCAAACAAATCTTGGAAACTTTCTCAAAACTCCAATTATGAAAAAGAATTCTCACAAACTTCGAAGATTTCATGAGTTTGTCGATGATGAATAATAAAAGAAATTGTAACTGGAACTCCCAAACAAATCACAGATGAGGAGCTCAATAAAGAGAAAATTAGATTATTTGGAATCTAATACACCAACTGATTACTAATTGAAACTTAATAGCTAAGCACACTAATCTTCGATATAATAAGAGCAAATAGAAAACTACAATGCTTAGAAATTAGACTTTACTTTAAGAAAGTTAAGAACAAGAAAGATTACTTAGGATATCGAAAATGATCTGAGCGATCTTCTGAACGAAACATAGAATTCATTTTAACCAAAATTACACCAAAGAAAGTCTAGCCTTAGCTAAAATAAAAATTATATGAGAAGAAGTTCAATGAGGAAGACAGAACACCCATAAATTATTGGATCTGAAGTGCACTCAGAGTACTATTGGAATGATAATCTTTCAAATAACAACAATTATAAGGAAAACAGTAATAATGATATTCAAAATTTAATGCAAGCTAGAGTGTAAAGCTAAAAAAGAAACATTAAAAATCATGAAACTCGGGTATTTTTCAATGGCCAACTCCCTACTAACAACAACTATTAGGAAAATACTAGACTACCTTTTGCATTAAGCTCTCATTCTTCAATAAGACACCCATTTTAGTAGTAGCAATAATAGAATCACGCTTTAATGAGTCCTATCGTTATTCACAGGAATAACAGACCTTTAATAAATGAGTACACTCAAGGACTAGCAAGTATGGACTCTAAGCATAAGTTAGAAAAGATTTACAGAATGCAAGAGATAGTAAAAGGATTCTAAATGACTTCAAGTCCTTATTAACATTTGCAAGGGGCCTTAAACATTCAACCTCTAGCTGGAAGAAAAGATCATAGATATTATTAGCAGAGCTTTTAATCAAAGAGCCAACAAAACTCATAACACAATAAATATTGAAACATTATCCTTTAATTATAAATATATTAATTCCAATCTATCATAAAATTGGCATCAAGGGGTTTTGGGGTTTTGGGG